GGGCCGAGACAGCGCCCGGGAGATGCAGTGGCCTGTGTGGTGGTGTGGACCCAGTGGGGGGGGGAAGGGCCGAGACAGCGCCCGGGAGATGCAGTGGCCTGTGTGGTGGTGTGGACCCAGTGAGGGGAGAAGGGCCGAGACAGTGCCCGTGGGATGCAGTGGGCCTGTGTGGACGCAAGAGCTCTGTTTCCTTTTCTGTCTCATAAAAAAGTGACATTTGCTCTCCAACTCTATCTCTGACCCAGAAAAGGAAATTTTATACATCTTGGTATTTGCTCCTTAGGTAATGAGTCAGACCTTGAACTAGAAAAGAAGTATAGGGAAGATGATCGAGAAAAGACCCCCAAAAGACCACGGATGCAGAAAACAGAGAAGATCCAGAAGATCTTCCCAGGAAAGGAGGCTGGGCAGCCTTCTGGGGCAAAGAAACCCATCATAAGTGTGGTTTTAACTGCACATGAAGCGATTCCAGGTAACCACAATGAGCAAGAAATAACAAATCCAGAGACTTTTGGCAAGTCTGTGCCAAGGGCAACCTGATGCAACAGTCTGAGTCACAACATGGCTTGAATCCCGTTATCTGGAGTGGCTCCAGAGGTGATGGGGCTCTCCACTTAATTGTCTATTGAACCTGTGTCTGTGACAGACCTGCTCACTGCCCAGGGCGACTGTGGATAATGGACAGAGGAAAGGTAGCCAGGGCCACTGCTCTGCTGCTGCAGGGCAGCCTCCCGGGAGCCGTCCTTTCCACTGTGGGGACAGCTTGTTTCCCAGCCCTCTGCTGGGTGAGCCCCTTCCTCAGCGGCTGTCAGCGACTTCTGCCCTGCATGTGAGATTGGCCGATCACCCCGTATGGTGGTGCAGGCCTATTCTCCAAAACACATGCTAACTCTGCCTAACTTCTCTTTTGTATTTTTATTGGAGTTCACCAAATACTTTATAATGCTAGAATTTTCCCTGCCCATTTTCTTTCACACAGATATGTCATGCTGTCTTTTTTTAAAAAAAGGTCTCTCCTAGGATGGGACACTTTAGACATAAGGCCATTTATGATAGTTGCTTTCAGAGAATATTCATGTTTTTTTTTCTCTATCTAAGGTGATAGCTCACAAATAAAATTTAAAAATCAGGTTTGGATTTTAAGAGCAGCTACAGCTTTTGAAGTGTCTTTTTCAATGCTGATTTGTAGTAACTTATTTAGAATACAAACTTTGAATACATTTCACTTCCATATTTCCTGTGGAGTAAGGTGATCAATAAAGGCTAGACCATAATAAATTATGTGGCTAGAAGAACTTTCTGGAAGGGCTACTTTGTCTGCCTCATTTACTTTAGAACAATTTTATTCTGGAAAATAAAAATTTCAGAAGAGAGTATCCTGTTTTTAGTGGTTGCTAGAGAATGTTTCTGCAATTTTTCTTAAAAGTTAATGGCAGTATTTTGAGATTTCTGTAAGTAAGGGTGAAAAGTGTAATAATTCCCTTTGTTATTCCAGAAATAATGGACCTTTCACTAATGCACTTGATACTTGCCTACATGATATTTGCAAGCGTGCATATGACTGTCTGCTGCCATAAATGGTCTTTGATCACTTCACATTGTAGAACTGTAGAGGTAAAGGTGACTCTGGAGAGTTTCTACTCCAAACCCTTAATTTTACAGGGTAGAACAAGACCCAGCAGTGTTGAAGTAATGTCATAAATGGACTAGACCCCAGGTGACTGAGTTCCCCCTGACAGTGTAATCTACTACTCTGTATTACCTTGATGTAGCTTTAAATTTAATTAGGTTTTTTTTTTTTTTTTTAAGACAGAGTCTCGCTCTATCACCCATGCTAGAGTGTAGTGGCATCATTCCAGCTCACGGCAACCTCAAACTCTTGGCTCAAGTGGTCCTCCTGCCTCAGACTCCCAAGTAGCTGGGACAGCAGGTGTGCACCACCATACCCAGATAGTTTTTTTCTATTTTTATAATTGAGAAAGGTCTCACTCGTGCTCAGACCTTATCTCCAATTCCTGACATCAAGCAGTCTTCCTACCTTGGCCTTCCAGAGTGCTAGGATTATAGGTGTGAGCCACTGTGCCTGGGCTAAACTTCCTTAAAGTTTAACACAAGTGGTCCTATATAAAACCTTGCAAGTAGCATACACATATGTGTGTGTATATATATACATATATACATGTGTGTCAGTACATATTTGGTTTTTAATCAAGTGAAAAATATAACTTGAGAGGACATTTAGACAGATTCATAGAAATCCCCCCACACGTGCATGTGCGTGAGCGCACACACACACACACGTGCATACACAGAAAGCCATTAATATGTGAACTGAGGGAAAACTAATGTCTTGTATGGGTTTCACACAGTAAAGAAACATACTTCCAAGCATCACTTCCCTCACGGGGTTGGGGTTGGCGCCGTCCTTCGGTGGCTCTCAATAAGCAATGCCTTGTCCATCATTCTCAGGTGCTACCAAGATCGTTCCAGTGGAGGCTGCGCCCCCCGAGACAGGAGCTGCAAATCCTGAGACCACCGCGGCAGACCTGGTGCCTCGGAGGGGGTACCAGGAGTACGCTATTCAGCAGACGCCGTACGAGCAGCCGATGAAATCCAGCAGGTAAGTATTGTGTTCTTTGTAACTCTAGCCAGAGGCTGGACTCAAGTGACCACCACAGAGAGCAAGGAGGGTCAGCATGTTTGTTTACATGGATTCTGTTTACAGACTTATCTGAGAAGGGTATTGACTCCTTTGGGGCTGAGCCTGCTGTGCTCTGTGTAGCAGTGGGCTTTTGGAACTGAGTGCTGGTTGGCTTAATGAAGCCAGACCATTTACTTAAAGCAAATTCATGCTTGACCTTAATAAAAAGAAGAATGAAGATAGTCTTAGTAAGTTTGCAGATTTATATAGCTGCACATGTTAAAATTAAAGAAATCTTCATTTACCCCCTACTTTAGAAAATAACACAGGTATGTTGTAGAAAATTCACATATCCTGTATGATGTACAGTTGAAATAGCCCATAATTGCTCTTTCTAGAACTACCTACTATTGAAAGTTTGGTTCATATGCCTCCATAATTTTTTCATGATGTACTAACATATATTGCTTTAATTTTATAATTTTTTTCAAACATGAAACACTAAAAGAACCATTTTCAACTTTTCTGTTTAACTTTTTATACCTTGAAAAGCTTTTATTTTTAGTTTAGATTTAAAGAATTGTGTTTGCATTATGTGACTCTGTTAGTTTATGTAGCCAAGTTAATGTTGTGGTGGATGGGGCCGTGATGAACGTTTTGGTGCGTGTATCTTCCTGTGAGATGAATTGCTGGATTTGGAATTACTGCATCAAAGATGTGACACTTAAAACTTCAAGTGACATTCAAAACTGTCCTTCCGATACCTTGGATCAGTGGGACAGCCGTAGTGAGTGGCTGTTTCTGTCACCCTCCCCCGTTTTTGTGTAGCTGGATATGTACCCGTTGAAGTCAGTTAATAAACTCTGATCGTGATCGGTCTGAAGACATTTTTGCCAGCTGGGAGGAAAGATGAAGAAAGTGGTTTTTCTCTGGAAGAGGGGAGATGATGTGCTCTTGAGTAGAGCATGAGCTTTAGAGTCAAACAAACCTGAGTTTGTTCACTCTAGACTCTTATACCTGAGTCCAGCTCAACACACAGAGCACCTGTTACGTGCTGGACTCTGGTGACATGGCAAAGAGTGAGGCAGACATGGCACCTGCCCTGATGAAGCTCACAGTTCCTATGCCCCTGGCATCTGTTACACATATTAGGTTTGTCTACCAGAGTCTTAGTTTGGTGGTGAGAATAAGTGATAAGATATATGCAGAGTATGTGACACATGCTGCTCTCTCTTTAAATCGTATTGTTATTTCATACGGTATGCTTCATCAGTGTGTGGCCTGAGTTCTCTATTCTTGTACAGGTGAACAACTGAATTTATTGATGTAAAAATTTATTTGAAGTTGTATTTGAATTGATTTGAATTTATTGAAGTTGTAAAAATAGTCATTTCTTTGGCAAATCTATTTTGGCAAAAAAATACAAATTATGTGGTAATAGGATTTAATTCTATTACCACATAATTTGTATTTTGATCATTGAGATTTAATTCTATGTCTCAGGTTAATTTAGACCTTAACTAATTATCTTCACAATATTTAAAGGTCTGTTGGGGAGGGGTTCAACTGAATGTTAATTTAGTTACAGTTATAAATATACTGAATATTTAATCAGTAGATATAAGCTATATTCCTATTGTCATGTATACTATTAATATTTTAATGTACCAATTGTAAGGTAACTATAAAAGAGACATTTTTTTTTGCATGAGGATTTTGCTTTGTAAAATACAGATTTAAAACTTCTAGGTTATATCATTTTTTTCTCCATAACAAATGATACATACTTATTATATAGAAAATATTAGATATTCTAAAAGCTAAGGAGAACAATATTTTGAAATCTCATTACCTAAAGATAAGCACTGTTAATGCCTTCAGTGTACTTCCTTCCAGTGTTTTTCCCCCTATGTTGGGACCTTCAGGGAGCTTGTGAAAAATCAGCCATGAGCACCTTCATCTGATTTATATCCTTTCTTTCAGATAATCTCCCCAAAGCAGAATAACTGGATTAAAGTGACCTTTTAAGTCTTGTGACCAATTTTTTTCTAAGACGCAGTGGTGAGAGTACCTCTCTCACTACATAGGCAACACTGGTGTGGAATAATTTAATAGAAATCATATGGACATCGAGGTTTTGGGCATCGGTTCATGGTGATGGTGGCTTGTGCTTGAGAGTCAAGTGCAGCCTGTACCATCCCCAGATGCACCACCCCATGCAGACAGGGCACTGTGGCTTCACACATTCGTCTACTAACAAAAGTCTGTGCAGAAAGTTCCTCCAAGGCCATTTAGATCTTACAGTAGAGGAGGAAATACTGTGATTTGTTTATTTAACTAATATTAATGAATCCAGGGTTTCTTTCTTCATTGTTCTTTATTTCAGTAAAATATATCACCTTCTGCATATCTTTGTTATTTGAGAAAGATTCAAATTACTTTCCTTAAGTTGGCCTTGGGCTTAGCATGTGGGCATCATAGTAACTTTCAAATTTGAATATTTTAATTACACAGTGTGAATTGTATCTTCCAGTATTTATGGATCATAACCCATTTAAATATTTTTAACTAAGACAAGGTAACCTGCATTCATTGACATAGTTTGGATATTTTCATAAATAGAGACTTCACAGGTCCAGTGGGTATGGCTTGGTGGTATCTAATTAACAGCGTCACATGATCATTAATATGTGGAAGGTCCTCCTTGGATAACATCCTGAGAGAGTAGCTTTGGCTGGAGAGAAAGTTCTCCTGACTCTTTGGTCTCATCTGCCACTTCCTATCCCTGGTGCTTGTTGTTTTTGGTAACTATCATTTGCTGATTTCAGAAACAAGGCTTGACTCTCTTGACAGTTGGAAACCTGCGTAGGGAAATGTGTGTGTGTGGTCACTGTGGGGACAGATTGCTGTGCATCTGTGTTTTCTGGCCATATAGAGGATGTGGGTGAATGTGCAGGCTTTTGAGTCAGATAGTCTGCTTGGATTGAAATCCTGGCTTCACCACTTTCTAATTGTATGATGCTGAGCAAACATTCAGTTTTCTCATCTGTAAAATGGGTATAGTAATAGCACTGGGATTGAATATTTTGCATAGAGTTTTTCATCTCCTAAGTACTCAATAATTGTTACTATTACCACATTTAGTAACACTGTGACATATTCCAAGGACAGATCAGGGGGCAGACCAGGCTTTTGTTTTTCTACCATGTACACAAAATCTAACATGGTACCTGTAACACACTGACAGGTGTTAGCACATGGCAATTATGTGAATAAATGGTGTAGGAGGTTAGTAAATGATGATCCTGTTTTCTCCATCTGAGTTCTAAACCAACAGTGAAGGGGGAGGGTGACAGAGAGTCACAGGTCAGCTCTGTTACTGGCAGCTGGGGGGAGAGCAGCGTGGCGCAGGCAGACAGTGAGCCCCATTACTGTGCTGCAGAATTAGGCAGCGTGCCCCCCTACCCCCCTTGCAGTCCTGCCCTACTCCTGGTCCAGCTCACAGATGTCCACTTGGCCAACACCTGCTGCGACCCATGCTCACCACAGACAGGAACATGCTTCCCAGAAAGTGAGAGGCGGAGCCCAGCTCATGATTCTGGGTCCTGTTCTAGAGTCATCAGAAAGACAGGTTAGTTCTCTTTTCCTGGGAAGAAGTGAAGTCTTGGTGAAAGGCCAGGGTTTTCCACTAATGGGAACTGTAGAAAGGGAAAGAGGGTCATCAGTAATGGCTGCAGGAATAGGCACGTCTGGATTATCCCAGCTATTGGAAAGCTGGCTGGGTCTAGTCTCATGAAGCTGAAGAGTTCATCCTATTCAGACTGATGTCTTTAAAACATCAGCTTCAAATACTGCTGGTTGTTGTGTGTATTGAGAAACATTCTTCCCTCTCTTGCCTCAACCCAGACATCTCTTTGGCAAGTTTTCCCAACCACCTTAATCCTGGTGAGAGATGTCTTTCTCTTTCTTCCCGGCCCATTTTCCTATCAACACCTACTACACTGATGTGCAACCATTTGCTGACCCTTCTTCCCCAAACTGAGTTCCTGGAGGACCATGACCCACACTAGTCCTCTTGTCCTGTTTGTTGAGTGAATGGCTGCGTCCACCTGTTCTCTGGACTTAGTTCACTTTTAAGCCTTTGGTGTTTGGTTCATAAAGAGGATTTAGAGCTCTGGAGGAAGGTTCAAAGTCTCCAAACATAACTGTGTTGTCGTCTGTTTCTAGGCTAGGTCCCACTCAGCTCAAAATCTTCACTTGTGAGTACTGCAACAAGGTCTTCAAGTTCAAGCACTCGCTGCAGGCCCACCTGAGGATCCACACCAACGAGAAGCCATACAAGTGCCCCCAGTGCAGCTACGCCAGTGCCATCAAGGCCAACCTCAATGTGCACCTGCGCAAGCACACGGGTGAGAAGTTCGCCTGTGACTGCTGCTCCTTCACCTGCCTGAGCAAGGGCCACCTCAAGGTGCACGTGGAGCGGGTGCACAAGAAGATCAAGCAGCACTGCCGCTTCTGTAAGAAGAAGTACTCGGACGTCAAGAACCTCATCAAGCACATCCGTGATGCACATGACCTACAGGACAAGAAGGTCAAGGAGGCCTTGGATGAGCTCTGCCTGATGACCAGGGAGGGTAAGCGTCAGCTGCTCTACGACTGCCATATCTGTGAGCGCAAGTTCAAGAATGAGCTGGACCGAGACCGCCACATGCTGGTCCACGGTGACAAGTGGCCCTTCGCCTGCGAGCTCTGCGGCCACGGGGCCACCAAGTATCAGGCGCTGGAGCTGCATGTCAGGAAGCACCCCTTCGTGTATGTCTGTGCCCTGTGCCTTAAGAAGTTTGTGAGCTCCATCCGTCTGCGCTCCCACATCAAAGAGGTGCACGGGGCTGCCCAGGAGACCTTGGTCTTCACCAGCTCCATCAACCAGAGCTTCTGCCTCCTGGAGCCTGGTGGGGACATCCAGCAGGAAGCCTTGGGGGACCAGCTGCAGCGGGCAGAAGAGGAGTTTGTGTTCCAGAGGGTGAATGTGCTCAAGGAGGAGGCCCGTCCTGGGGATGCTTGGCCTGAGGAGGAACAGAAGAAGCTAGAGGCCCCTGTGGAAATACCTACCTCAGCTGTGCACCTGGCCTCCCCCCAGGCCAAAAGTGCAGCCCCGCCACCCAGAGAACTGGAAACCACCATGATCTCATCAGAGCTGCCTTCTGAGGCAGCAGTTTCAGATGAGTTTTTATTGAAAAATGGTAGCTCTTCTGCTGAGGGCAACACTGCTCCCAAGAAGCCCTCAGGCAGCCAGCATAGAGGCTCTGATCAGACTCAGGGTGAAGTAATCACGGTACTACTTTCCAAGGACCAAAGTGCTGGGCCGAACCAGGGGACCCAGGGTGCTGAGAGCCCCCCAGGGGAAGGGCAAAGAATGGCCACCCTTCCAGAGAGTGACCCAAATCTTAGCAGGTGTCTCAGGTCCAACACAGCTGAAGCCTCAGACCTCCTTCCTCCAGTAGCCGGTGGTGGGGACATTGTCACACACCGGCCTGACTCTTGTAAACCTGCCCCTGAGCACCGGCCTAGCATGACTGCATTCATGAAGGTCCTAGACAGTTTACAGAAGAAGCAAATGAACACCGGTTTGTGTGAAAGGATCCGGAAGGTCTATGGGGACCTGGAGTGTGAATATTGTGGTAAGGAAAAGCAGCACCAGGCGTGTGGCTGATGGAGCGCTCCTTCCCGCAGCCCCATCCACCCCCAGCACACTGTGGTCACCTCATGTTTGATTTGAGCCCATGCTTCTTTGCAAAGAATGCATCCTAAATGAGCCATGTCCTCCTTTGCAGATAGGAGTGGGTGACCACCGTGCTGCAGTTAGCACTGGAGCCTTTGTGGAGGCAGCTGGGGTGACCGCATAGCACTGTGTCGGCTGGGTCAGGTGTGCGTTGCGGGTTACCCCAAGGCCTCTACCAGAATCATTCTTCTGGCACATGACAAGTTTAAAGTTGATCTTTAAGTTGTGGCCATGTACTAGATGAGCTGAGAGAAGTTACAGCAGCTGTCTGTAGGTCCTGAGTAGCACCCTCTAGCTCACTGAGAGCACAGCTCCTGCATCTCCTGGGGCGCTGGTCATGCAAGAAGTAGGAAGTCCACCTGTCCCAGGAGTGCCACGATTGTTTAGAGACTTCTCAGTTTATGCATGGGCACCATAGTATTCGGCACCATAATTGGTCCCCCCAAAACATTTGTTTCCTCCTCTCCTAGCCCTGACGTCATGCAAAAACATAATCGCTCCCTTAACACTCACAACCTTCCACCTCTGAAAAGGAAGTTCCAGACAGAAATGTGGTAGAAAGTATGAAGGGTGGTCTGGACAAGCAGGAGAGGGGGATAAATACCATAGTTAAAAAATAATAATAATTAAAAAATTCAAATTCAGGATAAAAGAAACTTCCTTGTTCTCATGTGAAAATATTTTTTTAGGCAAACTTTTTTGGTACCAAGTGCACTTTGATATGCATGTCCGCACCCACACCCGGGAACATCTGTATTATTGCTCCCAGTGTCATTACTCTTCCATCACCAAAAACTGCCTTAAACGCCATGTAATTCAGAAACACAGTAACATCTTGCTGAAGTGTCCCACTGACGGCTGTGACTACTCGACTCCAGATAAATATAAGCTGCAGGCACATCTTAAAGTTCACACAGCGCTGGTAAGTAGCAAGCCCGAGTGGCAGCTCCGTCTCCCTGGGGGCTCATTGCTTTCTCACATTTATGTATATGTGGGTGTCCCTGCTGCTGGTCAGCCGTGTGCAGATGTCCAGCCCTAAAGACAGAGCCTTCTCCTGGAACCGCATTTCCCCCTGCAGAAGGCCTCGCCCCAGTTTCCTTCCATAGCAAGAGTCTCTAATATGTTGGAAAATGAGATTAGATTGGATACGTTGTTTCCTCTGCAAATTTTTCATCATTAGAGAATGTGTACAGAAGAAAGATCTACAGGGTAGAAATAAAGCTGGTTTTCCTTATTAATAACAAAGATAGCAATAGCTGCTCTGGAAGGTTGCTGAGGAGTTGGGTTAGAGAACGCCTGTGAAGTGCTAGAAACAGCATTGGTTGATACTAAGAGCACAGTGAATGTTGGTGATCACCACTGTAATATTAGGTTATTTCTTGTAAGGTCTCTGAGAGAATGCTTGTGGAGCACTTTTATTTTAAAAATATGTTAATTCAGGGTGCTGTTAATATTCACAGTGTAAATTTGTTTAGTTCTTTGATGGGAGATCATACAACACAATGAATGAATGTTTATTTTTGCAAATTCTAACTCAAGAAGCTGACACCTGAGAGTGGTTTGAGACTTTTTAGAGTTATAAAGGAGGCACATTTGGCCACAGGTATGGGTCTGTTTTAATTGCATGCCTCTTTATGCTACAGACAGCAAAAATGAGGCCTTCAGAATTTGATGTGTCACCATGATTTTCTGGCATAAAAATCACTAACACTCTAGCAGTTTGTCACTATGGGTAAAGTCAGGATGTTTGAATATAGGAGGTGGGTCTGAGCACAGGCCTGGGGTTAGACACCTGGATTCAAACATGTCTTCAGCACAGTCACACACTGTGTGGCCTGGGGTAAGCTACTTGTCCTTTCTCGGACCTGTATAAAATAGTGTTTTGTATAAAATATATTTAAAGAAATGTTCTATGTACATATACACATGCATATTCACACTTATCGTACACAGATACATGTGTTTGTATAGACACTTATGTGCATTCGTGTACACGTGTGTGTGCATATGTGTATTAGTGTGTGCATAATTGACCGTCGAGCAGCTGTTGCGTGTCACCTGGTACTTCTTGACACATGTTCTCTCTCAGGCATGGAGGCACGTGGTTTGTAATTCCTCATGGGACTGCTGTTAGGGAGGCACTAGGGCAGGGAAGACTGAGGTGCCAGAATTCATTCATATGACTTTCTCAGACAGTCCCTTGACATCAAGAGGGAGTAAAGCCAGCATGACGGCAGGGGCTTAGGAGAAGTCCTGGAGTGTAGCTGTTGAGATCAGAGAGCAGACTGCTGGGCTTTACCCCTGGCTCCCACATTTATCATGTATTTGGCCTTGGGATAAATCACGTAACCACTTGATGCCTCAGTTTGCCCTTCAGATGAGGATGAAGTGAGGGAATGTATGTGTCTCAGAACAGTGCCTACCTGGGTAAGTGCTGTGCCATTGAATATTATTATTTATTATTCTTATCATTTGGGATCTTGATGCTCTGGATTCAGAATTTTGAAACACAGGCTAAAAGAATGACAAGAACGAGGAAGTAGAATGTGAGGTTTACAATCTGGGACTGCCTGTTTTCCACACTTGGATTCTTCCTGCCCAGGGTGTGTGTGAGCTGGACTCGTGGTGAGCACCCTGGGTGGGAAGGCTCAGCCCATCCCCGGGCCTCTCGGTCACCAGGGAGCGCCGGGAGCATCTGCTGAGGTCTGACCCTGACTTCATTTCCTTTGGTTCTTCTTAATAAACCGAGATTTAGAGACGTTTCTCTTTTCAACTTTGTGTGGTTCTGGTGAGCCTTCAGAGAGGTTATCATCTCTAACATCAGCACTTCGGAAGGCATCTGGGGAGTGTGTGCTGGGGAAAGAGAAGTAACAGCTGCTGTTTTTAGGCCCTGTGCTGTCTTAATTCTTGTATCTCTTGAGGATTTAGGGATTATTTCCCCACTGGGGAGTAGGAGCCTAGTGTTACAGAGTCCTTCAATAACTTGCCCACTGTCACACAGTCAGTAAGGGACAGAGAAGTGAAGCCACACTTATCACTGTGCCCATCTGCCCACTTAGTGGTGATTGGTTGTTATTCTTGGAAGGTCTCTTGGATACTTGAACATCATCTCAAGAAGTGCTGTCCAGGTAGACTTTGCCCCGTAAGGGCAGAGATGGCATTGATTCTGTGCTGCTAAGTGGCAGTTGGGCCTTATGCTGCGACAGTAAAATGTCTCTGCAAGTTACTGCAAGAGAAGAACAACAGTGAACGAGAGAGCGTGACTCAGCTGACCTTCTAAGACAGGCTGTTATCCTGCTTCTCGTTAGCCCTTACGTTTTCTTAGGAGTTGTTAAAGTTTAGTTTTAGTCTTTTCCCTCACTGATATTTGCAGTTCTTCCAGATGAGATGGTTTTAAAGGTGAACGTGCTCACCAAAGCTGGTTAACACTGACGAGAGACCTCATCATCTATGTGCTGGGCATGGGGATCTCAAGTCTGAGCATAGCCAAGCTCTCCTTCACAGTGCTCTTGGTTTTGTAGAGAATTAAACAAGTAAACGGTGATGGAACATGGCAGTGTGAGGGCTGAGTGAGGTCAACATGGAGTACCTTCCCACAAAGAAGAGCCGTCCCCCTTCCCACAAAGAAGAGCCGTCCCCCAGAGGGCCTGGGAGGAGGGTTCTAAGGTTCGTGAGTAGATTTGGTCAAGAGAAGAGGGCAAGGAAAAAGTTCCCAGTAGAGTCCACACCATAAACCAGGGGGAAGCCTTTTATGTTTACTCTGAGATACTGAATTGTTAAGCATTTCCCACGGAGCAGGTAGACTGTACTGTTACTGTAGTAAGAGTGTGCCATTTATAAAAACAGGCATTTTGAGTTTAGACAACATATATCCTTTGAGTCTGTAAATTATTTCCATAATAGGAAGCCAAGTATGCCAAGTAAATGTTGACACAGGCAAAAAAAAAAAAAAAAAGTCTGCTTCCTCTGAATGTACTCTTTTGATCTGATAATAAAAAACCCTATCACTGTATCATTTTAAATGGAATTCAGTATTTACAAGGAAAGTTAAGGTGAATTTTTTTGGTAACAGGGTTATGGACATATAATTCATGTATCTCATAATTTGCTCATTTCAAGTGTGAAATTCAGTGGTTTTTAGTATGTTCACAGAGTTGTACAATTATCACCACAAGTAATTTTAGAACTTTTCATTCTTCCATGAAGGAACCCTGTACCCATCAGCTGTCATCCCTGACCTGTCGTCTCTGACTACCCCTCCCTGGGCCCTCGGCAGCACTAATCTACTCTCCATCTTCCTGGATTTGCCTTTTCAGGACCTTTCATATAAAAGGAATCATAAAATATGTATGTGATACAGTCTTTCATGGCTAGTTTCTCTCTCCAGTGGTGTGGCATGTGTTAAGACTTTATTTCTTTTTATAATAAATAAATATACTATATTTATAATAGATAATAATACTGTGTTATCCATACAGTAGTAATATTTTATTGTATGGACGTACTACATTTTGTTTACTTATGAGTTGATGGACATTCAAAGCTACATTTTTGGTGGCAATTTCACCCAGATGATATTTCCAACTACAGAGTGTTTTAAATCCAGAAGATTCAATCTAATTATTTATGAAATCAGCAAATTAAAGCATAGAGGTTAACTCTTCTTTGTTAAGTATTGATCTTTGCTCCAGAAGGTTTCCAAAAATAATCAAGCAGCTAAGAAAAATCATCTGTTTTTCATCATCATTAGTACTTAGCTGGGTCATCTTTACTGTTCTTGACACTAATAGTGTCGTTGCTGCCGTGAAGTGGGTGAAATTGGGGATTCGGAGTTATAAGACAGGGCTCTGGCCATAGCTCTATGATCTTGTCCAGATGCTTGATCTTTGAGCTTTATCTTCTTTCACCTGAAAGTGCAGTAGATAAATACCCCTGGTCTCTGTGGAAGGTGACCAAGTCCTAGTGAGATAGTGTGACGTACTCTGTGATGTAAGATGCCTTGCAGGGTTCTGTGGTGAGCTGAGGACCCTGGCCATGGCTGGGTCTGTCTGGGTCAGGAGAGTGGCACTTTTTTCTCTGGGTGCTGGGTGGAGCATGAGGCTAGTCCTTGCACCGGCGTGGGACTGGGTTTCTTTACCTGTGACCCTGGAGATGGGGTTGGGAATGTTACAATTCTGCCTTGCCCTTTGTGTTTGTTTTAATATTTACTACTTCCAGCACAGATTCTCATGCACAACAAAAACCAAGGAAAGTTCAGGCAGCAATCCTGCCTCCCTTGGATAGGCCTGTGTCCAACTCCCTTCTGGTAGCGTTAGGACTCGAGGATAATTTGGCTGAGGGCCCATTTCTTGACTCTTGTAACTGGTTCTTAGCTAAAGATATACCTGATGATGGGAAGGAGGACGTATCTTTAATGTGGTTTCTCCCACCATCTCCTCCTCCTTGTTGGTAAAGATGGTTGGTTGTAGTAAAAAATGTATCCGTGTTAAAGAAATATGGAGACTTAGTCAAAGGAGTTTGTCAACGACTTTTCTAGAGTGAATCCACATTTTACAGAACTGTTCCAACTTTGTAAAGGAAAGGTTTTAGAAAGCATGCTTTTTGTGGAATGAGAAGGGGATTCGGGTTCTGATGTGTCTGAGTTCAGCTCTCATTTCACTAAATTATCCGTCCAGAGTCGGCTGATCTCTCACCAGATATTTAGACCCCTTGGCCTCTGTCTTTGAGAAGTATGTAGTCTCTTTTTGACTGCAGAAGTACATATATTTTTTAAAAATTTCACATGTATTTATTACATGTAATAATTGTACATGTATTATTGTTAGAAATAATCTTTTGAAATAATATATTCTCAACAAGGCACAGAGAGATCAGAGGAAGCTACCTCAAATATTTTTCTGGAAATAAAGGTGTATATAAATAAATGTATATATAAATGTATACATTTAAAAGATGTATTCTTTTTAAAGTAGAGGAAATGTTATTTAACTGAGATGATGGAACAGAATGCTTTTCCTTTCCAAGAGCCACAAGAATATGGTCTTTTCTTACATGATCACAAATGAGTTTGTTTCTGTGCCGCCCCATTTGAAGCCACTGCACAGGAGGCCTCAGGCTACCAGAACGTCTTGAGAATAGAATGGTTTTAGCAAGAACTGAGATTCTGAATTAAACAGAAGGGCATGGCAAAACAGCTGCTTTCAGTGAAAAGAAAAGTAAGGAAAATTCCTGAGTTCTTAAACTGAGCACTTTTTCTTGTTCTTTTCTAGCGTGTTCAGATCAATCCCAGTGTAAGCGTCCCCTCTCTGCATTCTTCTGTTTTTCTGTAGACATGCTTGCTGATTGGTGGGCTCTGTGCGAACCCCTGAGGGTCTCACACCTTCATCCTCAGCACAGTGCCTGGCTCATAACATGGGTCCTGTAACATTGGAGGAATGAACAAGTGAGCCCCTGGGAACGAGGGAAGCAGGTGCCGCAACCATGGCTTTTACTCCTGAGATACGGTTCAGAGTGGAATCCCTCATCTTTGTTTTCTTAATTTGATGTCAGATATTTTATCAGTGCACTTATGCTTCTGTAACATGTACTTGGCGGTGGTGGGGATTGGAGTTGATCTTTTCAGACTTGAGGACTGTCTGGTTTGTTTGGGGGCCCCTCACCACTGACAGGCCAGGTGAGGTTTGCCCACAGTGGAGAGCTGGGCTCTGAGCTGCAGGTGTGGGGCTGCCCTGTGCACTGTTTGTGCCTGTGGCTGCATGCCAATGTTTGCCCTCTTCCAAAGGGTCCTGATTGCTTTGAAGGCTGTTTCCATCGTAGCAAACAGGATCTGAGGGCTGGGTTCTTACTGTCATTACAGCTTGGGTCTCTCATACTGCCTGTCTCTGCTGGGAACTCTTTTAACCAACGCTCTTTTTAAGTTGCTGTGTCAGGTTGGGTTTTCATCTCTGGTGCAGAACTGAGGTTTTGAAAAAGAAGTAAATGAGTCCTAAGAGTCCCCTGTTTTTTTCCCAGTACCTGTTTCCTTCTGGAATCTTCAAAGACATCAAAAATAAGGGGCCCTGATAAGCTCTGAGATAAATTACTTTCTGACTATCAGAGATTAAAAGAAAAAAAATCACATAGCAGGGCCACTGCAAACTCCTTCACAGCCCTCTAAATGATGAGGACCCTGTGGGGCAGCCGGGGGTGAGGGGCCTCCTCTAGGATGCCCTCTGGGCCCCAGGCGTGCCTCCCGAGGTCGAGGGCAGAGGACGACCGTGCTGGGAGTGTGCGGAGAAGCCCTGATTCCATGATGTAGTCAGGGTGGGGTCGGCAGTGCTGGCTGGGTAGTAAGCTCAGGATAGTTTGTCAAGAGCTTCCTTGACCCTGTGGACTTGTGAGGGTGGCAGGCACTGCTGGGTGTCCAGACGCTTGGTGGACAGTGCGTCCAGACTGCTCATTCAGAGAGGGGTAAAGCCCCTATTTGTAACTGTGATGTGGGGACACTGGCCTCAGAAGAGGTTCTGCAGCAGCAGTGATAACCAATCCCCAAGGGAATTGGGGGTGGGGGTGGTCATTTAGGTCCCTCGTGGAGACTCTCAGAGTGTGTTGGCTGGTGAGACAGTCTGGGTTGCATGCTGATGGTGCTAAAGCTGCAGCAATGAGGTCTTCCCGAACATGGAGTGTGTGTGGCAGGCCAGGCTCTGATCTAAGCACTCTGTGTTTTTTATCTTCTTGTGACCCCGTGAAGGAGGCACAGTTTTTTTTGCCATTCTACAGATGAGAAAACCGGCACACTGAGAGGTTCCATCGCTTTCCCACAGGTCCCCAGCTAGTAGGTGGTGAAACCAGGGTTTGAACCCTGGTCTCTGAACTCTGAACCTGTATGGGGTACTGCTACTCACAGTCTCACAAGAGCGGGAGCTCAGGAGTCCAGCTCCACTCTTTGTGGTGGCATGACCTTGGGCAAGTTCCTAAATGCTTTATAGAATGTGTTACGCAGCTCACTGTTCAGTATGTTCATAAGAAGTGGTAGCTCCTGTGACTGGTATTATCCAGAGACGTGAGCAGACTGGCTGGGGGCGAGGCTGTAAGGTTCCCATTCATTCATGTAAGGCATGGAAAGCACTTGCTGCGGGGCTGAGCCAACAGCAGGGGCTCCATAAATGGTAGAATTAGTCCTGCTAGACATCTAAGTGAGCATGGGCTGTGCTGACATTCTCCCAAACACACAGGCCCCTTGCAGTAACATGCCTGCATGTTCTGGTTTTGTGTTTTATTCATCTGGGAATACAGATTCCTAACCCCACTCTCCTCAGATTTTGGCTCTTTGTAAGATGTGGGCTTGGGAACTTTGGGGGAAAAACATACCACATCCTGGGTGGCTTAAACAATAGGCATTTATTCTATTTTATTTTTATTCTTTATTAAATCATAACTGTGTACATTGATGCATTGATGTGGTACAATGTGCTGATTTGATATACAAAGTGGAATCCTTACATCTAACTGATTCACATAACCATCTCCTCGCTTATTTATTATGGTAAGACATTCATACTCTATTCTTAATAGTTTTGAAATGTATCATTGCATTATGCACGTTAGGTAAGGTTCCCCCCAAATACCCTCTCTCCTCTAGGCCTCCCCCCTCCCTTCCCCTCCCCCTCCTCTTCCGTCTGTCTTTCTGGACTATAGTTATGTTTTACCATTCGTATGAATGTGCAGATGACTATCTACTGATTTCATAGTACTATTGAGTACACTGAATACTTTTCCCCCCATTATTGAGATACTTGACTAAGAAGAATATGTTCCAGCTCCATCCTGGTAAACATGAAGGAGGTAAGGTCTCCATCTTTCTTTAAGGTGGCATAATATTCCATGGTATACATATACCACAATTTGTTAATCCATTTGTGGATTGATGGGCATAAGGGCTGCTTCCATGACTTGACAGTTATGAATTGGGCTGTAATAAACATTCTGGTGCAAATGTCTTTGTTGTAAAATGATTTTGAATCATTTGAGTATATACGTAATAGAGGAATTGCAGGATCTAAAAGTAGGCCCACTTTTAGTTCCTTGAGTACTCTTTCCAAACTTCTTTCCAAAAAGGTCATATTAACTTGCATTCCCACCAGCAGTGTAGAAGTCCTTCTCTCTGCATCCACGCCAACATCTGTGGTTTGGGGATTTGGTGATGTGAGCTAATCTTACTGGAGTTAGATGATATCTCAGAGTGGTTTTGATTTGCATTTCTCTGATGATTAAAGATGATGAGCATCTTTCATGTGTTTGTAGGCCAGGTGCCTGTCTTCATCAGAGAATAAAAGGCATTTATTGTCTCCTGGTTTTGGAGAGTAGAGGTGTCCAGTAGAGGCATCTCCCTCTCATAGGTCAGGGTGCTGGGAGGACTGCCTCCTTCTGAGGGCTGTGGGGAGAGTATTCCAGCCTCCCCAGCCTCCCCTGGCTCTTGGTGGTTTACTGCAATCTTGGGCTTGTAGATGCAGCACTCTGGTCCCTGACTTCATCTTCACGTGACCTGCTCCCTGCATGTGTGTCTTCCCCTTTTTATAAGGACACCAGTCATATCACATTAGGGTCTACCCAGTGACCTCATTTTAACTAGATTATGTCTGTGTAGGGTCTACCTAGTAACCTTATTTTAACTATATTATGTCTGTAAAGACCATGATTTCAAATAAGTTACATCCTGAGGAATTGGAGGTTAGGACTTCAATGTATGATTTTTGGGGGAGCGGGGGACACAATTCAACATGTAACACCTACCCTCTGGGCAAATTGTGATGTGAAATAGCACTCAAGCAATCTCGGAGACAAAAGGGAAATGAGCATTGAAGTTGCGCCCTACCCTTCACCACCTCCACAGGGCTCTCCCTTTAAGCACCACTGTTCCCTTCCAGCTTGGAACTTGCTAGGCTGTGCAGGTCAGGAGGAGGCTGTATGTCATATGCTTGGAAGAGTGCACTGTGTCTAGCTTTGCTGAGGCTGCTGCTGTGGGTGTTGCTGCGGGTGGTGGTGAGGATGATACTTATGGTGATGGTGGTGGTGGTGGTGAGGATGATACTTATGGTGATGATGGTGGT